GAGGGCTAGAATGGATGCGCCACCCCTATCCCAGGCCTGCCAGAAATCATCAACAAGTATGTTTAATGCTATCTTTGTGCTATACCCATGTCAGAAACCCTGCTCAAAAGAGTCCCAATAATTCACTTCCTCCAGAGCCCATTGAAGTTGCAATCCAACTATCTTCTCAATTATGAGATAGGAGGAAAATCGTCCATCACTATTGGCTTCCACAATTTTCTTGGGAAGAGATGGATTATTGCCTCTTTAAGAACCTGCAAGACCACCCCTCTTCCTCAAGTATGCATTCACCACTACCTGCATCCAACTACATGTTATCTCCTGGGAAGTCTTGACCAACCAGGAGGGATATGCAACAAATATATGGGTGCCACACTTAAAGCCCAGACAACCTTGCCTATTTCCTTATGACCAAGAGGCCACGTTCTTCCCAAATAACCAAACCAGATCATGTCTCTGTCATCTCCAAAGGACCTGCACATCAAGAGTGGATCTGAGCAACTTTATGTGACAGATTCCTTGAACAGTCCTCACTGTAGTGCTTCTGAAATTCCTTTGGCCCCTCCTTACCCAGAAGAGACCAGGTCCCCTTGAACAAGGCCGTAGGCCAGCTAAAGTGGGAAAAAATATTAAAATTTGCTGCCATTATTTCCACAAGGAAATACTTAATAAAGGCACGTACCCATGTTTGGTTGAGTTTGCTCTTTGGTTTTTTTCCCCAATGGATCTTCAGGCATCTTTCCTGCTGCTTCATCTCCTGGAGTTCCTCTGAAAACCAGGAAGGACATCTAATTGCATTTATCATGGAGCAGAGAATTCATCTGTTTTTTTCTAGTCTAAACTTGACTTTCTAGCCATTTCTTTTCAATCTTCAATAGAAGGTTTTGAATATAATGAAACAGGAATACACTGGCATTGAAAGAGTTTGACTTTTTTCCCCCTACTTCAAAGTCAAGTTTTCAAAAAAAAAAAAAAAAAGCCTGGCGACTCAATAAAATCCTACCATTCAGTCTTGATGGTGCTACTAGGCTCCATGTCTACTTTTTTTATGCTACAAACTAATGAAGCTCTTCTTTCTTACCTCTGAAAATTGCTGCTTACTTACAATCCAAACTTTGTATTTATAGAAGAAGCAGCCATGGTTTGGGCCCTGATTCTAAACGCCATTTTGTATTGCAGAAATCTAAGGTACAATGCATTCTAATCTTGGATTGGAGGCCTGTACAGTGGCTTTAAAACAGTCAAAAGAGTGCAATACACATTAAAAAGAGGTGGGAATTTGATCACATGATTGTGGCCATCATCATTATTTTTTTTTTAATTTAAAAGCATTGAACTCACCCATCCCATTTCGATGTCTACAAATCATAGATAGGGAACATGGTGCTACTTATTTTAGATTCAATTTCCATTAGTCCCATGAAGTTTATGGGGATTTATATCTCCTTCCCCCCTCCCAGGGAAATCAAAGCCCATGATTTCTCTCTAAACATAAGGAAAATGTTGGATTTTCTTACATCTATGCCTTGAATTCTAACTACTGTATCAGGCCACTTTAGAGATTCTCAGAGGCCCAAGCCGTTTTATGTAATAATCTTAAAAAAAAAAAAAAAAGTAAATGATAATAGATGAAAACAAAATAAGCAAGAAAAAGTTAGA